AAAACCCAAATGGAGCAGTATGAATACCTGAGTGCCTGATGTCTGAGATTCACTCATGATCTTCTGGGTCCCAAAAGACTTGGGACTTCTCCACCTCGCTGACTCTGCCACCTGCAACACACATAGCTTGCTTTCTAAGATCAGGCCAGTTCCACTGCACACCTTCAGCCATACTTGATGGACATGGCATGGTCCTGGCATCTCCAGTGTGCTGGGTCTCCATAGGCTGCACCTTCATGGATGGCTTCCTGGTCCCTCTTTGGGACTACTTTGCCGCATGGCCCAAGCTTCAGCTTCTCTCCATGACCCCTTCCATCTTGGGGTTTTCACTGCTACTGAGGCTGCACCTTCATCAGTGGCCTCTCCTGGCCGCTCCGTGCCAAGCCTCAGCTGCTCTCCATGATCTCTTTAGTTCTTCAGCTCTCATGAGGCCAAAACCAGCACCACGTGGAAGTCTCGTGCACATGACCAGCTGCCAGCATCAGATGCAGCTTTGGTCCCCTCTGGACTGCGGCTTCTGTATGCTGACCCTGAGGATATATTTCCAGAAGACTTTAATTTCATGCTGGTCTCTTCTTAATCACATCTGACTTTTCAGCCTCACATGGCTAGACACAACAGGTTCTTAATTCACAGGAGTGATATGATAATGACAGAATCTTTGAGAAACTCTCAACATTCCCTGAACCTTCTCAAGTCAGGCCTCCATTGCCTGCACGGATCTCAGCAGTCTTAGCCTTACAAACCCCAACAGAGGATCAAGTTAAGCTCTGAGTACTCGATGGTTTTGTTAGCCCAGAGTTCCAAACATTTCCACAATCCTCCCAAAACCGTGTTCAGCTGTGTCACAGCAACAGTCCACTCTCTGGCACCAAATTCTACTCTAGTTTGCTCTCTACTTACTGCTGTGATAAAACATTGACCAAAGGCAACCTGGGAGGAAAGGGTTTATTTCACCTTACAACTCTCAGGTCCCACTCCATCACACGGGAAGTCAGGGCAGGAACCTGGAGGCAGGAACAGAAGCAGAGGCCCAGGAGGGGTGCTGCTTCCTGCTTGTTCTATATGGCTTGCTCAGTTTGTTTTCTTATACAGCCAAGGTGTCCAAGGATAGCCCACCTATAGTGGATTGTTCTTCCCACATCAATAATTAATCAAGAAGATGCCCCCAAAAGCATGCCCACAGGTCATTAGACTTAATTCATTCCTCAGTTGGAATTTGCTCTTCTCAGATGACTCTAGCTTATATAAAGTTGACATTAAAAACTAACCACCACATCCTGCAACTCATCGCCTTAGAGTTAGCATTAAACACCTGCTTGCTACCTCACATCCTGAAGACAGGAAGCCTGCCACACTCGTCAGAGAAAGGCTGTGTGTATCTTACCATCTTACCAAGGCTATCCCAGGAGGTACTGGGTAAACCCACTCCAACTCTGTGTTGCTCACAGTCTCGGCTCTGCAGGACTGAGGCCCCATCTCCTTCCTGGCTGTTAGCTGAGACCTCCCATTCCCAATGCACACCCACCATCAGCGCAGTCCAGAGCAATCTCGGCTTTCAAAGGGCTCCCAGTCTGGACTCATCCAAGTCATGCCCCTATGATGAACTCAAAGTCAACTGATCCTGAACTTTAATTACATCTGCAAAATCTGTTTTGTCGTGCAATATGGCATAGCCACAGCTGTCTCACTGGATTCTGTCCCAGAGATCAGAGCACAAAATCCCAGGGAACCATAACAGAATTCCGTGTATCACATTATAAAGACAGCCATCATCTGGCCCCAAATTGTCTAGTCTTGTTTTAATAACTTGGACTTCCCAAACAAATATCTTGTATGGCAGCTTAAACATCAGGTAGTTCTGGAAGTCTGGGGTCAAAGTGTCGGTCAACTCAGTTCCTGCTAAAAACACTCTTCTTGTTATACAAACAGATATTTTCTTATCCCCTATGCTGTACCTTCTGTGGCAGAAAGTGTGGAACTCTCGTGGACTAATTCATTACCTCTCAAAACATCAAACCCATCCATTAGGGTGGAACTCTCATGGACTAATTCATTACTTCTCAAAGCATCGAGCCCATCCACAAGGGCATTACCTCTCAAAAGCCCTCTGTGGTGGTTTGAATAGGTGTGGTCCCCCATAAACTCGTGTGTTTGAACACTTGGCCCATAGGGAGTGGCACTATTAGGAGGTGTGGCCTTGTTAGATTAGGTGTGGCCTTCTGGGAGGAAGTGTGTCATTGTGAGGGTGGGCTTTGAGGTCTCAGATGCTCCATGTATGCCCAGTGTGACACACAGTCTCCTTCTACTGCCTGCAGATCGAGATGTAGAACTCTCAGCTCCTTCTCCAGCATCATGTCTGCCTGCATGCCACCCACCATGATGATAATGGTCTAAACCTCTGAACTGTAAGGCAGCCCCAATTAAATGTTTTCCTTTAAGGTCACGGTGTCTCTTCACAGCAAGAGAAACCCTAAGACAGCCTCCAAACATGACCACATGGAGAAATAGGCTCCAACATATGAATCTGGGGGGCACAGACAGTACACAGCAGGCCCAGCCCTCCCCAGCCTCTTCCGACTCTGATCTCCATACATGAGCATCCTCTTTCCCGGTCCACCATGTTCCTGCTTCCATCTCCCCAGAAGCCCCTGCTGCTCCTGTGTGAGTCGGGCTCACTGGGTGTCCATTTGCTTGTACGTTCTCTGGAGAGCTTTTCTGGTACTTCAGGAATACTGTTGGTGCCTGTCCCATTTCCACTCACCACAGCTACACTGTACTGTCAGCCTCCTCAGCTGTCATTTCCTTTAATAGAGAATAAATTCTGCCAGGTGTAGTACACATCTGTAATCCTAGTACTCAGGAGGGCCAGTCAAGGGGATCGTGAGTTCAAGGCCAGAGTGGAAGGAGGGAAGGAAGGAAGGGCAGGAGGAAGGAAGGAAAGGGAGTTAGGAGGGAGGGAGCTCAACAGGTTTATTGCGTTGATATGCGGCAGTCACTGGTCCAGAAGCTGGTGGGAAACTGATCTATACCGGTCAGGCCTCCTTTAAGATCTGTGCCTTCAACCCTCATCAGAGTTCCAGGTATAAGGCAACAGGGTTGAACTTCTGTCTACCTTGACAAACGGTTTCTATTCTCTGAGCCTCTCATGCATGGGGTCTCCTCTTCCACAGTTCAGAACCAGCAAATCACAGAAAAGTCCTAATGGTTAACATCTCACCTCAAGCACTATGATTTAATGTAGTATTTGAAATCCCAAACCAAGAAGAAGGGAGTAGAAAGCCTTGCTTGGTTCTGGTGTCATCTCTGGTCTACAGGTCAGTGGGACCCAGCTTCACTCTCTGAACATGGAGCTGGGTGCTTGTGTCCGAGGCCCCTCCCTGTCTGGTGTTCTTGGTTCTCACCTGAGGCGAGCATTACCAGAACTTCTGCTGTTCACTGCACTAATAGAAATATTATCTAATTGAGGGTGGGCTGGGTCTCATCACAGAAAGAGATCTAATTGCTGAGTTCAAGCTCCATCTGTACTGACAAAGGGTGGTGCCCACAAACTGCAGAGCCACAGTGCCTCCAAACAAGAAGAGAATACACAGCATTGCCATGAGGGGCTGGCTGTGACTGGCCTGGCCCACCCTCCCCGCCTGCACGTGTCAGATGGAAAGGACGCTTTCCCTGGTCCATAGACATTGGTCATAAGGACCGGAATCATTGACAAACCTAAAATAGACACTGTAGGACCACCTTTCTCTAGCACCTTAAACAGGTCTGCACCACGGGATAGCGCAGATCAATAAGGCTTCGAGACAATAACCGACTGCTTCTTCATCCAACCAGTGTTGCGGATGGCTATAGAAAGTTACCTGGGCTGGCGGAACGGCTTAGCCAGTAAAGGCGCTTGTCACCCAGCCTGGCAACCTGAGTTTGATTCCCAGAACCCACACAGTGGAAAGAAAACAAGCTCCTCCAGGTTGTCCTCCAATGGAAAGGAAATCATTACACCACAGTTGTTTTCCGTGTGTGTGTGTGTGTGTGTGTGTGTGTGTGTGTGTGTGTGTGTGTGTGTGTGTTTCCATGTGTGAATTCTAGCACGTAGGTGTCACAGTACACCTGTGGAAGTCGTGGCGACAACCTCCACTGTCATTTCTCACCTTCCACCTTGTTGGAGGCGTTTGCCACCTTGTACACCAGGCCACTTTGCCTGCAAGTTTCCAGGGAGTTTCCATCTCCCATCTCACAGTCGGGAGGCTGGGATAACACACTTCTGTTCCCAGCTTTACAACAGCTCTGGGGATCCAAACTCAGATCTTCTTGCTCATGTGGCAAGCACTGTATTCACCGACCCATGTCCCCAGCACCTCCTCTGGCTTCTTCATAATCCAGTGCAGACCATCATGTCTGTCATAAAGCAGAGGAATGCAGGGATGAGAGCCTTGGGAGGTGGGGAAGGAGCAGGTCGGACTCTGCCCTCCCATGTGGTAGGAGCAGTTACCAGAGGGAGGGTGCTGTCCCTCCACCAGGATGGTCAGGATATACTGGGATGAGGGGAACAGGGTCAAGACAGCCTGGGGAAGGCTATTCTTTGGAAGGATTTTTGCACTAAGAGAAAAAGAGAAAAGAGGCAGAACTGGAGGGGGGCGGTCTGGAAGACAGTCTGTGTAAACAGGGAGAGCATGCTGTGTGCTGAGGGACTGTTCCAGAAGGGAGTGGGTACCAGAGCTGCAGATGGGACCAGACTTCAAGGGGCCCATGGACAGTCTCCACAGTGTCATGGAGAGGCAAGGTGTAGCTGGTGGGTGAGGAGAATTAGTGCCATTGGAAGCTGCCCATCTCCAGGCATCCCTGCACTTCCATGCCCAGCCCTGTGGCCCTCCCTGCTGGCTTCCAGCTTTTGTTTGGTCCCTGAGGCTTGCAGAGGAGGTGAGCAGTACGGAGCATGGGTACAGAGGTTTCCAGGGCTCTGTGGCATGAGATTTGTGACAGTCATATCAGAGTCAAAGGGAGACACTTCTGGTTCATCCACTTTATTTCCATTTAAGTGACACATGAGAGATCGAGGATCCAAACTGTACCTCAAAAACAAATGATTACCAAAGACGCCGAAGGCACAGCCAGTCAATTCATAAGATTAATTCCTTAAGCTTAAACAATAGAAAAGTATGCCAGAGAGAAAAGAATTCCAAAGAACGATTGCCTACTGTCTGGATTTATAACTACCAGTAGCTCCACACTGCTCACCCAAGGCTGACTGCCCCTGAAAGCCTTTCAAACTGTCAAGTTCTGTGGCTTTGCTTCCAAAATATGATGAAACAAGAAGTCTCCTTGTATTTCAAAGGTAAGCAAGGCTCTTCAGCAATACTTTCCTGAGCATACAAAATCAAAGCCAAATTAAATTAAAAAAAAAAAAAGTTTTTCCAGACATAAACATCAATGGAAAAAAAAAGCCCAATTTTAGACCATATGGATATTGCTAACTTCAGAGGAGCTGTAAGTTAGAACACCCACATACATTATGCTGCTTATAATTCAACTTTTATTAAAGATAAATATCATTATTAACAAATCATAAATACATATACCCGCTCCCAAAATACAGTACCAGCCTGTAGAACCTCCTCAATGTACAGGCAAATGACAATTTCAAACACCATTCAATGACATAGACATCTAATTTTTTTATCCTTTAGGAAATTAAATTTGATCACAAAGTGTTCTCAGTTTCGGATGGGTTGCTTCCAGTCACGGCGGGTGTTTTTTTGTCTTATGTGACCAAGTGAAATGAGTCAGCTCTCCTCCTCTGTGAGAAGGGCTTCACAGCTTGCTGGGCTCCCCTCTGTTTGGGACAGAGGGTTAGCACTGGCGATGACATCCAGGGATGTGGTGGTGTAAGAAGGGTCCGAGACCCTGAGTAGGTATGGCCCTGAGCATCAGTGTTCGCTTCGTTTCTGTGAGTGTGAAAAATACCCTGACAAAAAGCAATGTAGGGAAGAAAGGGATTATTTGGCTCACAATCCCAGGCTGCAGCGTCTTACTGCAGGAAGCCGGGCAGGAACTTAGAGCAGTGGGGCGCAGGCAGGTCCAACAGAGACAGGGTAAACACTGACCCTTGCTTGCCCTCAGCTGGCTTTCTCCTCTCATACTGCTTAGGACACCCTGCCTAGGGAACAGGGTCACCCACAATGAGCTGAGTCCTCCTACATCAATTGATAATAAAGAGATATTTCTCATTAAAACTCTCTTCCAGGGTGATTCTAGGTTGTGTCAAGTTAACAGTCATAACTACCCAGCACAGCACTCAAACTGACTGCAGGCATCAGGAGCTGGTCCTATGACCCCCTGCAAGGAGGTAGTAGAATGCATGGTGCAAACCAATTCAACAGGGTTTGGAGGGAGCATGTGTGCAGCCATGGGCTCCATCCCCAGCACCAAAACCACAAAGCAATACCACACACACACAGAGAGAGAGAGAGAGAGAGAGAGAGAGAGAGAGAGAGAGAGAGAGAGAGACAGACAGACAGACAGACAGACAGACAGACATTTGGCCACAGAATCCATATTTCTACTTGCATTTAAAATGACTATGCCTGGTAGTTAGAGAATGCTGCTTTTAATTGATTTAAAACATTTTGCTCTTGTTGTTATGCTTCATTCCAACTCATTCATCTCAGGCTCATACACCCCGTCTCAACTCTGAGCTTGGACAGTTTCCCTGTTCACCTCCAGGAACAATCTAAGGCCATCTCTGAGGATCTGTCTCATCCTGGGAGTTAGGTAAAAAGACAGGGAACCAGCAACACCTGAGGCAAGCCCCCAACAAATTTTCCTATCAAATTATCAGTCAAATGAAAGCACCTTGCAAACCCTAGAGGTGTAACTGGGAACCTAATACACCTCTGCCAGTGTTCACACACAGGGGTTTACATCATGGAGAGCCACCGAGAAATAAAAATAAGCAAAGAGCCTTGGAGATCAGTGTTTGAAGGAGCCTTTGCAAAAAAAAAAAAAATTTGTTTACATTTCATTTATTGTGTCTGTGCATGCGCGTGTGTGCAGGCCCACCATGAGCTTGTGAAAGTCAGTTCTCTCCTTTCACCATGCGGATCTCAAGGACTGAACTATATTCGCCAGACTTGGCAGCAAGCACCTTAACCCACTGAACGATGTTACCCAGGCCAGAAGGGACACTGGTGTTCACTTCCAGGCTAGCACCCTCATGGACTGCGCAGCTTGGCTGGTGTCAGGCATCCCCTTTGGGAAGTCCCCTTAGGACCTGTGGATAACTATAGGTGTCTCCTCCCCAACACGCCTGAGTCAAAGTCCCAGACAGAGAGAGGAGTAAACGTCCCAATCTACCAGGAGAGACCCAGCCTAGAAAAGGCTAAGATGCCAGTTCTAATGCAATGGATACAGAAAATTAATTCTTAATTTTAAAAATGTGGTGTGAGAAAGCAAATGCTTCCAAATGGAGGGATGGAGAAAATGTAAACACCATCTCATCTATTTTTTAAACGGTACCCAGCAGCTACCATATTAAATTCGGTTTGTTAATTATTTAGTCTGCCATGAGGCCACAGACTCTGGAGAAACCAGAGGATGTCTGAAGCCTGGCTTTGTTCTTTCAAAATAGCATCCTGAGGCCAGCGGTGGGCACTAGAATGCTGCCGCTGCTGCAATTGTGATGTAAAAGCGATTCTCGCTCAGCAGGGCGGGGTGTTTCACTTCTGCCTGCAGGCTGGAGTTCAAGAAACCCTCCGGGTTTGTAACTGTGAGTCACTCCTTCAGCTCACGTCCTCACCAGAGCACACCTGGCCTTTGGCACACACTTGCCTAGTGACAAGTGTGCAGCTGATTGTGCAAAAGCTAGAGAACAAGGCAACCTAACACACTACAGAGAAGATCGGAGGCACTCGCTTTGTCACATCCCAAGTGATAAAACTAACCTGGTGCCTGCATGTAGACAGCTGGATATGTCATTTGTGCGTGTGTGAAACGCACATGGCCTCATGAGAAAGCTAGTCTAAACAGGAGGTCTGTGAGAATTCTATGGATAGCCCCAGGGCCAAATCACAGAAATCAGACAGAACCAGGAAGAAGTAGACCAACACTCAAGCCAACACCCAGGACAGAGGTGGCAGTGTGCAGGCAAAGGGAGATGTTGGTGACTCCTTGGGTAGCACCAGCCCCAAGCTTCTGAGAGAAGTAAGCACATGGAAGGTGTGTTCATGGTGTGCCAGTGGAGAAGGCTGAGGGCTGGATCTCCACATCGCAGCCCCTGGGTGAGTCACTGAGTCACCCCAGCTGCCTCTGCTGACAAGCAATTTGACTGTAAGAATGAAGAATGGCTACCTGCAAAGGACACCTGGTGTCTTCAAGGCAACAGAAGTGTGAGCACAGGTGACCACATCTGTTTATACTCCGGGGTACTGTGCATAGAACAAGAGAACCTGTTCCCGACCATCTTCTCAGCACTGAGTGCTTACTCAGGTCTGCTCTCTGCAGACCCCTAACTTTGACGTTGCTGATGATGTATGTGAATGCAATGAGCAAATATGACTAACAAATGAATAAATAAAGGGAAGGTCTGACGCAGAGAGGCTGGTGCCGGGATCTGATGCCAGCTCTTCCATGCACACGACAGCAAAGCCACCATACTGTTATGAGCCTTGGCTTCCTCTTCTGTCAAAAGATCAGGCTGGGTGTGGTTTGGTGGTGTATGTAGTCCCTAGCACACACCCAGGAATAATTACCCTTTCTCTCTGCCTGGCTCAGATTTTCACATATTCTGAACTAAGAGTCCAGAACTTGATGTTGTATGATTTTGAAGAATGTTGCAGACAGAAGAATTTTTCCCAAGAGTTATGGAAGAGATTCAGAGGAGGGACAGGAACAAGTGTGGAAATGAGGCCCTGGAGGCAGCTTCCAGCCTCCTCCAACCTAACAGTGTTCTGACCATTGAGTAAGTTTTCCTGAGTTCAGATGAGAGCATATTGCAATGCTTACAATTACAGTCACATGAAGCCTTTGCTCCAAGCACATAGTAAAATCTAATAAAGTCAAAAGCAGGGGAAAGCAATAATTCCCGCAGTACAGAGCAAGATTACATGTCTGGTGACAGTGGCTGAATGGCCATGAGCCCCTGGTTTTGCTCAGCTCTGAAAACCTTCAGGGTTAAATTCCAAACCACAACACTCAGCAGATCTATGACCACGTGATAAGCCCAGTGTGAAGAGCTGGGGTCAGGAAAGATCACAGATGCAGAGAGAGCCCCTACCTCCATGCTCTGCATCTCAGGGGCTTGGACCAGCCTAGGTCCCAACAAAGTTCCTGGACACCCATAGAGACCATGCCTGTGCCTGGCTGCCCTTGAGTTTGAACTTAGAGATCTGAGGTGCTCCAGGGCTGCCACTGCTCACCATCAATCCATCAGTACATCCACAACAGAGACCAGGTTCAGGGGAGAGAAACCTCACTGGGTTTTCAGCAGTGTGGTCGGCCTATACAGCAAGACTCAGCAATGGCTTCTCAGGCTGATTTATATGGTCATATAACCCAGTTTCCTTCCAGCATGGAGGTGAGCTAGTATCTGCAGGCATGCATGTCCCCTAGGACCATATTGAAGATACACTGGGTACCAAGTAGCTAACAGACTCAGTGCCTAGCTACATCATTCAAGTGAGGGGAGAGGCCTGAGAAAGCTGGTTCATCCCAGACTTAGCATTTAAAAAGTATAAGGATTGGGAAGTGAGGGGCAGGGGACTCGGGAAAGGGACGGAAGGATGCTAGTTAGCTTTAAGACACCCACCCTAAGCTCCTCCCACCACCACCCTCTCCCAAAGAATGGGACACTCAGTTGGGGAACACCAACTGAGTTCTGATAGCACTTGATTCTCATTCCTGCTGCGTCCACAGGCTGTGAGTCTTTGGACAAGGCAATGACCCTGACTGCTGGTTCCTAACCTGTCAAATGGGAATGGTCACATCCATGGCTTCACATGAATACTGAGCCCTGAAATGAGCAGATGAAGGCGTGTCTCAGACATTGAGAACGTAGTGCGAAGGCCTGAAAGACAAGATCTGTTATTGCTCTGGGTGCCAAGTGGGAACAAGCCGCTACTCTGCGTGTGTTCCCTTCTTGCCTATGCAGGGCATTGAGATCAGTGCTTTGTCTTTCTCCGCCTTCTCTCTCTACCCTGGACAGTTCCCAGCAAGGCCATCCCAGATCTTCCCAAAGCATCACCAAAGGTTATCATCAGAAGTTTGTCCCAGGGGCCGCAGGCTCCCCTCAGACAGCGGGGCAATCCTGTTCCTGAGAGCTCTCCAGTGCCTGCCAGTAAGTGAGCAGGTCCTGGGGCTTCATGAAGTGGCAAGCCACAATTTTCTGGAAGCGGCACACGGAGAAGCGTAAGCCACCGGGGAAAAAGGTCTGTTTGGTGTGGAGTTCCTCGGGCCGGATCTTCAGCTTGGCCAGGCAGAGCCCCACAAACACATCCTCCAGCTTGAGGAACGGAACAGTCTCTGAGACATTGTATACTTGACTCGCCACATCGCTGGAAAAGACATAGCCAGTACCAGAGCAAAAAGGTGGGTACCTGTCCCAGGGGTACTCAAACTTACTCACAAACCACTTGTTGAACCTCTGCCTGATGGGAAAGTCGTTGGGCTTTATGTAGCCCGTGAAGAACCGGGCCGTTTTGTTTTTTTTCAGCAGCAGTTCAGTCAGATAGCCAACGTTCACAAACATGTCTGAATCGGTTTTCATCACAAAGGCGGTCTGAGGGCAAAAGTGGTGGACCCACTCCATGCCCATCATGGTCTTCAGGGTCAAATTGAAATAAACGTCCTTGAAATCCTTCTGGATGATGTCATGGTGCTGCTCGCTCTCCTGGGCTGTAGCATCCATCTCCTCGGTGCTGTCTGAGGTCCCCAGAAGGAAGAAGGTCCTCACGTGCTGCCCGCGCACCTCTGTGTCTCTACCCCACGTCTTGCGGATGGCCATGCGAGCCGCCAGCTGCCTGTGGGATGAAGTCACCAGGAGCACGAGGAAAGGGGGCTTCTGCTTGCAGTCTATGTCCGGAAGCCGGAGGAACTTGCCCTGATCTTTCTTGAAAACCAACGGCAGTTCTTTGAAAGGCTCCATGCTGAAGTACAAGCAGAGCGCGCCCACCATCAGAATGAAAGCGTAAACCAGCCTCATCTTCGTGTAGACCATCTGAAAGGACAAAGACACACTGCCAGGTCTCCAAAGTGAGAGGGTGGAGTAACAGATACCCAGACACAAGGACATCAGAGGACTCCACTCAGGTGGGAGTTCCAAGTCTAGCACCAGGGCCAGAATATACGTTTTATAAATAACTAACAGAGAAGTGTTTGAAAGTTACCAACACAGGGCTGGAGAGACGGCTCAGTGGTTAGGAGCTACCAGCAACCACCTCTATCTGCCGTTCCAGAGGATCTGACGCCCTCTTCTGGCCTCTGTGGGCACTGCACACATGTGCACAGATACACATGCAGGCAAACACCCATACACATAAACTAAAAATGTCTAACATTTACCCAAAGTGCCAAGAACAAAGGAAAAATAGATGTCTAAGGAAATGGAATTGTGAATCAGTGTAAACATTACACATTATACATGTGTACTGAATTATATCAAACCCCATATATACATAATTTTAAAATGAACTTCCAAAAATATGAGTTAATGTGCCAGGTAGGTGAGATAGATGAAGAGATCCACAGTTTAGAAAACTCTGGAATCTTTCAGCACACAGAAATGGAGGCCATGCCTCAACAGTGAAGTACACAGGACAGCCTGGCATGCTGGCTCCCAGTACCACACTGAGAGCCCTGGGATTCTAGATGCTGATCCCAGCTCTGGGAACTGCCAGTCCTTCACTGATGGAGTATTCAGACTCCTTGTCCTTCAGTAGATGGGATCAGATTTCCCAACAGGTCCTCAGCTCTGACCTATGATGACTCCATGACAAAGAATGACACAATGTAGCTAGACAGCCTGCAGGTCTGGAAGCTGTGCATTCTGGGTGCAAGCACAGGACTGGAAACTGTGCATTCTGGGTATGAGCACAGGTCTGGAAGCTGTGCATTCTGGGTATGAGCACAGGTCTGGAAGCTGTGCATTCTGGTTATGAGCACAGGTCTGGAAGCTGTGCATTCTGGGTGCAAGCACAGGACTGGAAGCTGTGCATTCTGGGTATGAGCACAGGTCTGGAAGCAGTGTATTCTGGGTATGAGCACAGGTCTGGAAGCTGTGCATTCTGGTTATGAGCACAGGTCTGGAAGCAGTGCATTCTGGGTGCAAGCACAGGACTAACCACAGATTTCTTTGCTCTAATTAAGTATGCTCAAAAATCAACTCTTAACCATTTGAGTTCCTGACAGGCTGAAGTGTTTGAGCTCTTGGTCTGCAGCTGATGGTGCTGTTGTGAAAGGTTGTGGAACCCTTTATGAGATGGAGCCTGGCTACAAGAAGTGAGTCCTGAGGGACGGGCATTGAGTTTATGGTACCATCCACTTCATGTCCTCTCTCTGCCTCCTGATCCCCAAGATGTGAGCAAGCAACCCCACACTCCTGCTGCCACAGCTACAAGCTGCTCCCAGTGGTGTGTCTGTATTCCTTCCACAAATCATGGTGCAAAGTAAATCCTCCCTCTCCTAAGTCATTTCTCCTCAGGTATTTGGTCATGACAAGGAGAGAGAGGTAATGCACACAGAAGCACCACCGGTTTTCCAGTTTGCACAATTACCTTGAACTTCTAGAAACCTGGAATGGGGTAAGTTTGAGATCACCTAGGTCAGTGTTGGGACGCTGAAAAGGAAAGACACTCACTTTTGCTGGGTAAGAGCTTAGCTCCGTCTGGAGGGCTAAGCCACAGGGCAGAAGCCACGAGGAAATGAATTCCTTCTGAAGAAGAGTTGGTGAGCCGAGTTCTGCCTACCTTCTGAGACAACCTTCTGGACTTGGTTTGTCTACCAACAATGAAGACGGTATCTCTCAGGGATAACTAGAAAAAAAATAATGACAGAGTTCAAATTGTTTGCACTTTACTTCACACTTTGCCCTCACCCCGGTGTGACCTTGAGCAAGTGTGTGAGCTGCATTCCTGGCCTCACTTTTGTGACTTCTAAAATGGGTACAACTGAGGCACAGAGTCAACCACATGATTCACCTGCCTACAACAACAAACAGATGTCTGAGAATCCTCTTGGGCCTCACAGATGAAGATGGGAACTGTGGTGGTTTGTGTGGGAATGGCCTCCGCGGGCCTATATTTTTGAATACTTGGTCATCAGTTGGTGGAACCGTTTGGGAAGGATTGGGGATGTGTCCTTGTTGGAGGAGGTATGTCACTCGGGGTGGGCTTTGAGGTTTCCAAAGCCCATGCCATAGCCAGTGTGCTCCCTTTCTGCCTCATGGCTGTGGTTCAAGATGTGAGAGAGAGAGACAGAGACAGAGACAGAGAAGGACGAGGGGTTCCAGAGGTAAGCACCTTGTGGGAGAGAAGCAGAAGAGGAGAGAGAGAGAAATGGGTAGAGTTTTTCCTTAAAAAGAGACTTTTATGTCAGGACACAGGGTGGCACCAAAGGGCGGGTTCTGAATATTAACAGTGGCACCATGAGAAGGTGTGGCCCTGTTGAAGTAGGTGTGCCCTTGTTGGAGGAAGTGCATCATTGTGGGGGCAGGCTTTGAGGTCTCTTTTTGCTCAAGCTACTCCCAGTGACACAGTCCACTTCCTGTTGCCTTCTAATCAAGATGTAGCCAGCAGCATGTCTGCCTGTATGCCACCATGCTCCCTGCCATGATGATAATGAACTAAACCTCTGAAAATGTGAGCTGCCACCTCAATTAAATGTTTTCCTTCATAAGAGTTGCCATGGTCATGGTGTCTTGTCACAACAATAGAAACTCTAACTAAGACAATTTCACTGGCAGAGCAATTTAGAGACAGGAGAATATCGACTTTCTTATGTGCTTACTCATATGCAAATATACAATGAAAAAGAGCAAGTGGGGCAAATTAATACAAAGTGTACAGTTTGAGAAGAAAAAGAGCACCATAGAAATTTAATGTTGGAACCAAGGCTTGTGCTTAAAGAGATAAGGATATTAAAGAAAGGCCTGATCCAAAATAGAATGAAGGGAGGGTGTCCTCAGGGCAAGACCCAGCTAAGCTCCCAAGGAAAGACTAAGGAGTTTTCTGCTCCTAAAAAGCAACAACAAAAGAAAGATACAGTAAATGTGATTCAAGGGGGCAGCCAAACTTCAAACTGTCATCCACCTGGTTCTGGCTTCAGAGTCATGAAGGTACATGAGCAAAAGGATTGTGGAGTCCTCCTCTGTGGTTCAGGAGAGCTGACGAGGCCAGGCAGTACATGGTAGGGAAGTCCCTGCGAGAGCTAGAAGCCCTGAGAGGCCATTGCATGAAGCTGTGAAACTGAAGTCTGGTTAGCATGGAGAATCCAAGATGTTAGACATGCCAGAGCCATGGATATTTGCCAAGGAGAGCTGCACAGAGGAGTGGAACATGAGAAGGATGTATGTTTCAGGGAGAAAGATGGAAGGGAAGGGCCAGCTAAGCTCAATGACATTGGGTATAGAGCTACAGGATCCTGACTTTGCCGTGTTTAGTTTCCATCTTGCTTTTATCTAATATTTCTTCACTGTTCCCCTTTCCTCCCCTTGGGGATAGTAATGTATGTTCTCTGTCATTGTGTGTTGAAAGCATATGATACGCTTTTTGGTTATATTTTACAGGTGGTTGCAGTAAAGAGATTGCCTTAGTCTCAAAAGAGACTTCAGACTTTTAAACTGTGTTGAAACTGTGGAAGACTATGGGGACTTCTGAAGTTGGACTAAATTCATTTTTCAGTATAGTATGGCTGCAAGTCTATGGGGTCATAGAGTGAACTGTGGTGGTTTGAATGGGAAGGGCTCAGAACAGTATTCTCAGAGGACCTGAGTTCAGTTCCTAGCACCCATGTCAAGCAGTTCTCAACTACCTGGAACCCCAGTTCCATGGAATCTGACACTTTTACAGAGACACAAACACATACATATAATTTTAAAAGTAAATAAGAGTAAAATAAAAATCCTGTGTGTGTGTGTGTGTGTGTGTGTGTGTGTGTGTGTGTACACACCATAGTGCATGTGTGGAGGTCAGACGAAAACATGCTGGAAGCCCAGTTCTCTCCTTCCACCACGTGGATCCAAGTCTCATGTCATCAGGCTTGGTGTCAAGCACCTTTACCTCCAAGGTGCCTTTTCTCTGGACACTTCACAGAGGTTAAAATTCCCAGGGATGGATACTTCCCTCCTTCACTGCATAGATACATAGTTATCACTCCCCTCCCTCTACATAGATACCAAATGACAGCCCAGGGCCAAAGCAGATGCCACATCCAATGCCAACACTCCCTGGATTTTCTGTTCCCATAAAGGTTGCAACATTTTTCCTGTCTATAACAGAATGAGCAAGAAACTGTGTCAAAGTGACACCCTCAGTATTCCCATGTACAAAGTAGGTGTCTGTGCCTTGAGTTGAAAGGGGCACCTCCCTCTCAGACAATGGAGTTGGAAAGGCAGTAGAACTACCAGGAAATATAGATTTAGACAGCATTTTCTGGAAGGGCACTGTGTACCCCCAGATTGCAGCCCTAAACTTCTGGTAGGCAGGGACAGTTGATCACTGTATGTAGAATCAACCAAATGTGGCACTGTAGCATAAATGAGTGATAAACCTTAGTTCTATGGAACAATACTTATACACTGTCGATATGTATTGCTCTCATTGTTAATAAAAAGCTGATTGGCCGATAGGTAAACAGGAAGTATAAGCAGGACAGCCAGACTAAGAGGATGGTGGGAGGAAGAAGGGTGGAGTTGGGAGTCACCAGGAGGTGCAGAGAGAAGCAGGATGGGCATGCCATTCTGAGAAGAGGTACCAAGCCACATAGCAAAGCACACATAAGAAACATGGGTTAATTTAAATGTAAGAATTAGCTAGTAACAAGCCTGAGCTATTGACTGAACATTTGTAATTAATATGAGCTTCAGTGTATTTATTTGGGAGCTGCTGACGGGACAGAAACTTCCATCTACACCTTAGGTCACTTAATCTTTAAGCTGTGGAATCTGAAAAGATCCATTCTGGTGAGTGTAGTAGAGAGGAGAATGAGGGTACTGGCTAAGGGTGCTGCACAGGAAATGAACTCATGAGTCACCCACAGCTTGAAGCCAGAGAAGACTAATGGTTCCCCCAAATGAATCCTATTCCAGTATTACCAGGACAGACTAAACAAGCCCTTCTTGGGGAAATACAGTTCCATGATTTGCAAGGAAGGCAAGCCTCAGGCCCCACATTGTTCTCTTCTTAAAATGAAAGCCCTCCACCAAAATTATCTAAGCTATGGAAACCACATGCCACAGAATAATATCTCTAAAAGTGAGATGAAGCAGGCATCCTTCATAGCCACCCAGGGAGTCATGGAGTGGCAAGGCAGAGTGAAATCCTCCGCAATGCCCAGACCTAGATGGGGCCATCAGCTCCAAGTTCCTAGCTGGAATCCAGCTCTTTGCCCACTGGGTGAGTGCCAGGCATTTGCACCAGGCAGAGCATCCTGCACAGCTCCTGCAATGTGATGACTACTTCATGTCAACTTGACTGGACCATGGGGTACTCCCAGACACTTGGACAAATAGTGTTCTGGATGTGTCTGAGAGGGTGTCTGTGAATGAAAATAGCATTTGAATAGGTGGACCTTCCCCATGGAGGTGAGCCTCCTGTACTCAGCTGAGGAACTGGTCTGGTCAAAAGGACTGCCTCAGTGAGCTATCATTCCCTGTGTTCGGGTGAAACACCTTGCTTTTGTGGTTATTTTGCTGGCTTTTGGATTGGACTTTATACCATTGTTTCTCTGAGTTCTCAATCCTCAGATTGGAGCTAAGCCAGCAGCAATCCTGGGTCCCTAGCTTCGTTACTGCAGATCTGGGGACTTTGCAACCTCGGTCACTGAGTCACCACTCCATAATCAATCTCCTGGCACAGGAGCACATCCTGTTGACTGTTTCCCTGATGACCCCTGACCAGCACATGCAGGGAGCCCCACATCTTCTGAGAACCCTGCCAGTGAGGCCTGGGAGGCTTTGAATGAGAAATGCGCCCCCACAGGCTCAGGTATTTGAGTACTTGGTCCCCAGTTGCTGGAGGAAGTATGTCACAGGGCTTTGGGGGTTGATAGCCTTGCCCCGTTTCCACGTCTTGCTCTCTGATTCCTGTGAGCAGCTGAGATGTGAGCTCTCAACTTCCAGCTCTGGCCATTTGCCGCCATCTCTCCCCTGCCATAATGGACTAGTCCTGGGACCATAAGTCAAAATGAGTTCTCTACTGCAAGCTGCTTTCGCTCACAGTGTTTTATTGCAGTGACAGAGAAGTCACTAACACAAGGCCTCAAAGGTGGCTCATGTTGTGGAGGTGGAAAACAGATTCTTCTGGAAGCATGCGGAGGAGGCACCAGACCCTGGAAGAGCTTCTGGGGAGGAGAGAAGGAGTTAGTACCTCCAGAGCATTCCCCAGAACACACAGAGAGCTGAGAGAGTTACAGAGCAATGATGTCCTACAACTCAGTTTACACCAGGCTGACCTGGGCAAACAGGCGCTTTGATATGAAAAGCTGCAGCTGCCTACTCCTTGTGTTGAAACCATCTCAGGGGAACAATGCCGAGGCAAACTGTCCGTTTGGATGAGTGATTTATTGTTAGAGTTACTGATGCCATGGGAGAAGCATGGTGCGGAGGACTGAGAAGAGTTCAGGCCCACGTGGCAGCGCAGGGGGGTCCCTTTGTGTGGAGCCATCATCCCACAGCAGATTGATCCTCAACCCACTGAAAGCCTGTGCTCACCCGCACTGTTCACTTAATCACCCTGCCAGAGGTCACAAACAGCCTGCTTTGAGTCAGAAAAGACCACAGCAACACAGGGGGTCTATTCCTCCCTAATCTATCAGG